CCTGAATCCAATTGAGCACATCTGGGACATCATGTCTCGCTCCATCCACCAACGCCACGTTGCCCCACAGACTGTCCAGGAGTTGGGGGATGCTTTAGTCCAGGTGTGGGAGGAGATCCCTCAGGAGACCATCCGCCACCTCATCAGGAGCATGCCCAGGCGTTGTAGGGAGGTCATACGGGCACGTGGAGGCCACACACACTACTGAACCTCATTTTGACTTGTTTTGAGGACATTACATCAAAGTTGGATCAGCCTGTAGTGTTGTTTTCCACTTTAATTTTGGGTGTCACTCCAGATCCAGACCTCCATGGGTTGCTAAATTTGATTTCCATTGATAATTTCTGTGTGATTTTGTTGTCAGTACATTCAACTATGTAATGAGCAAGGTATTTAATAAGAATATTTCATTCATTCAGATCTAGGATGTCTTATTTTTGTGTTCCCTTTATTTTTTTGAGCAGTGTATATCAAATGTACTGTAAAACTTTGTGCCTGTCACACAGCATTTCACAATTAGTCATCATTTGAATTCTGATGTTTATTCATTCCCTGTAGGCACACATAGGGGTATAAAGCACAGTTCATGCAAGCAGGTTAAAAGAAGAAAGGGGCATCTAGTGGCCAGTGACTGTTTGGTTAGCAAAGACTACACACATTTAGAAAAATGGTCAATAGGGCCACTTGAAATCAGTGCCCATCACAGTGACCCACAGAGTGAAGGCTCTTCCCAGGGAAATAATGTGCCAGTGGTTTTCTGTTAACAGTTCTAATAGTAAACATACCATATGAATGCTACCTGGACTCACCTGTACTTTGTGCTTTGCTTGTTGTTTAAATGTTAACTAGACACTGAAGAAATCACTTGTACCACATCTTAAATTTAATCCCTTATAATTTTAAAAATCCATTTGTGTGATAAGAGATCACATCAGGAAAACAGACTGTTTTGAGTGTTTGAACAAACAGCCAATTCTGTTGCTTTTTCTGCCAAGGAGTCTACTTTATCATCTCAGTTTATTTATTTATTTATAACCTTGTTTAGCACATGAAGAAGAATGTTTGAGAGATCACATTGGGAACAACTCTTTGATGTATCATAAGGACACAACAGTAATGGTTCAGGCTCACATCTGTGGGACCTGGCAAAAAGAGGTGCATAAATAAATAGATGTTTGTTTATTCATGCCTTTCCATCTGTGTGGTGCTGTGGAGCATATCACATTTTATGGCCACTCTCACTCTTCCAAACTGTGTCCCGCCTCCATCTATCTCCTTGGCACCAAGTGTGCCCCTATGTCTCCTGGAGATTGCAAGGTAATTTAGTGGTGGGGTAGGGGGTTGGTGAGGAGGGATAGGGGTGTGGCTTTTGCCCATGATCCCATGTGCACCACAGAACATGGAGCCGATCTTCTATTGTCAGAAAAATGTTTTAATCAGCAAAGAAAGGCCCAGAAAAATAATCACTTCTGCATCAGCTTCTGGCTCATATAAGATAGATGGGGAGTGTGTTTCATGTACAGTACAGTATGTACAGTGAGGAACAGAAGTATTTGAACACCCTGCGATTTTGCAAGTTCTCCCACTTAGAAATCATGGAGGGGTCTGAAATTCACATTGTAGGTGCATTCCCACTCTGAGAGACAGAATTAAAAAAAAAAAATTCAGGAAATCACATTGTATGATTTTTAAAGAATTTATTTGTCTTGCACTGCTGAACATAAGTATTTGAACACCTGAGAAACAGCAAGAATTCTGGCTCTCAAAGACCTGTTACTGTGCCTTGAAAAAGTCCACCTCTACTCCACTCATTAATCTAAATTAGTAGCACCTGTCTGAACTCTTTAAAGACACCTGTCCACCCCACAGTCAGTCAGACGCCAACTACTACCATGGGCAAGACCAAAGAGCTGTCAAAAGACACCAGAGACAAAATTGTGGACCTCCACAAGGCTGGAAAGGGCTACAGGGCAATTGCCAAGCAGCTTGGTGAAAATAGATCAACTGTTGGAGCAATTGTTAGAAAATGGAAGAGGCTAAAGACGACTGTCAGTCTCCCTCGGACTGGGGCGCCATGCAAGATCTCACCTCGTGGGGTATCACGGATGATGAGAAAGGTGAGGAATCAGCCCAGAACTACAAGGAAGGAGCTGGTCAATGACATGAAGAGAGCTGGGACCACAGTTTCAAAGGTCACTGTCGGTAGAACACTACGCCGTCATGGTTTCAAATCATGCATTGCACGGAAGGTTCCCCTGCTCAAGTCATCACATGTCCAGGCCCATCTGAAATTTGCCAAAGACCATCTGGATGATCCAGAGGAGGCATGGGAGAAAGTCATGTGGTCAGATGAGACCAAAGTAGAACCTTTTGGTCTAAACTTCACTTGTCGTGTTTGGAGGAAAAAGAAGGATGAGTTGCATCCCAAGAACACCATCCCTACTGTGAAGCATGGGGGTGGTAACATCATGCTTTGGGGGTGCTTTTCTGCAAAGGGGACAGGAC